CCACTTCCTTACACTTCCAGTTAACTGCCACTACCACTGGATGGGGTTAAACCCTGGGGACATAAAACAAGTAGAGACAGGCAGAAATACGTTCTCTCCCCATTTCTTTTATTTATTTTTTATTGGTACCAGGGATCAAACTCACAACCGTGCACTTGCAAGGCAGGCACTTATGCCAATGAGCTAAATCCCCAGCCCTATTTTTTTTTTTTTTTGTACAGGGAATCAAACTCAGGCCAGGAAGGTGCTGTGCCACTGAGCTATATCCCCAGACCCCCTTGTTTGTTTAAAAAATGGGAAACTGCTGTAGATAGATACCGGGGCAGACTGGAGCTTTCGCAGGCCTTCTTCTTCCCCCACTTTTTGTTTTGCGTTTTGGTTTTAGTTTTTTTAGATGGGGTCTCACTATGTAGTTCAAGCTGGACTTGAATTCACTATGTAGCCCATACAGTCCTCGCACTCAGGGGTTTTCCCCGCTTCAGCCTCCTGAGTACTGGGGTTACATGTGTGCATCACCATGCTGGGTACTACCCACCTCTCGAAATACACACTTAACTCCAAAATGTGTCACCTAGTCTCTTTCGATACCCAAACCCGGCTGGAATACCTCCTGAAAATAAAATAACTGAAATTACTTTTAACAGTCTGTCCTTTAGAGGGAATTGTTACATATGGCTATGAAATTAGCAGTTTTGGTCCCTCTCAACAAAACAGTGCAGCAGAGGGGGACCAAGAGAGGGTTCTGAGAAGCTCATATGACTCTTAATAAGATAAACCATCACCCTAAATCCTTTCTTAAAAAACAGTACTGGCTTTCACTGTGTAAAAGAGGTTTTTTAGGGGCTGGGGATTTAGCCCAGCCGCATAAGCGCCTGCCTTGCAAGCAGGCAGTCGTGAGTTTGACCCTTGGTACCGATAAAAACGAAAAGACAAAAAAAAAAAAAAAGAGTTTTTTTTTTTTTCTGTCTTTGTCTTTTTGAATCTTGCATTATTTTTTTAATTTTTTATATTTTTCTTGTTAGTGTTAATTTATGACAAGATTCTTTTTTTGGACTGGGAATTGAACTCAGACCTTACACCTGCCAAGCAGGTGGTTATGCTGCTGAGCTAAGAGACAAGAGATTTGTGTTTACTGATGATCTACAGAAAAACTGCTGACTAGTCTGTTTATAGTTACAAAGGTAAAAAACCATAATAGCGTTGGCCAATGCATTTGAATTTAGAAGTAATTTTATGTTTTTATATGTTTGTCCTTCTGCCAGTTTAATTTGCATTAATAACAGGTAAAACAACCCCCTCCCCCCACACACACACACCACACACACACATACTGCTTCATTTAAGAGAAATTTTAACTCAACAGTTTATTTTTATTGTTTTCTGGCTCTTTTTGAGATTTTCATGGAAAATCATTCACATAGGTTTTCAGAGTACCAAACTCACTTAAAATATCACAGGCTGGGCCTGACAAGGCTTACAAATAAAAGCCTTAACTGACCTTGACATATAACAACAGATTTATTTTGATTAACACAGACCTCACCTTAACTTGGTTTTAAATACTCAACAGAAAAGTATAACCAAAAGTTGTATAAAAAAGTAATAGTAATGTAGGCTAGATACAGAAAGGAAGCTCCAATCACTGATCTATGCTGGTAGTGCCCAGCTACACCTACAGCAGGCCACAGCTATGGTTCAGTGAGGCTAAAAAGCTACAGTGAGCCGGGTGCAATGGCACACACCTGTAATCCTGGCACTCAGGAGACTGAGGCAGGAGGATTGTTGAGAGTTTGAGACCAGCCTGGGCTATGAAGTGAAGTCAGCCTGAACTGCATATCAAAAACTTGCCTCAAAAAGACAAAAAAGGGGCCGGGGATTTAGCTCAGCAGCATAAGCACCTGCCTTGCAAGCGTGGGGTCCTGAATTCAATCCCTGGTACCAATTTAAAAAAAAAAGTACTAAGCTTGCCTAATGGCCTGTGGACATGACAAATCACACAGTCGATGCACCTGAAAAGTCCCTAACTCTAACTCAAGGAGGGAAGGGGGGAGAAGAAAACAAGAGGACTTACACAAGTCCAGGAATTCAGTTAACGAGAAACTGGTGAAGGACCTGCATATTAGAAATAAAAACCTTGTTGTAAACGATCCAAGTATGCTTGCCATCTGGTGGACACCAGGCCTTGTGAGCCAGATTAACATTTCACTTTCACTGCACTCTGAAGAATGGACAAAGGAGCGTATTTCTCATAGAGATGAATGCAAATTTAGGACAATTATTGGTAAATTCTAAGGCAAAGGAATCTGGAACAGAACATTGTAAAAGCCAGTAGTTGACTACCCCTGAAAATTAGTTATTCTTACCTTGATATCCTTAATGTTATTTTGTTCTTTCATTTGGTACTAAGGACAGAACCATTGGGCTCAAACTTGTGATCCTCCTACCTCAGCCTCCCAGACTGCTGGGATTACAGGCATGGATCAAGATGCTCTGGTTGGCATCCTCAATCTTGAAAGGAACAGGTTAGGTAAATTTAAAACTAAAAAACGTTGTATTAACAGTTTTTAGAGATACTCTCTGTGATTTATATATGTGCAGAGCAGAGCAAGGATCTGACCTAAAGTTCTAAAGTAATAAAGAAGACAGATATAAAGCAAAGGTGGAGATGTCAAATTTTATTCTGTATCTGTAGGCCCACTTTCTCTTTGTTCTAAGACTTACTGCATGCAGAAATGGGCACCTCCCTGCCTACACAGTTCAAAATCATCTTTCTTCATGTATTCCTTTTTATTTCTGAGACAGAGTCTCACTGTATAGTTTAGGCTGGCCTTGGACTCACTGGGTAGCCCACACTTCCTTCGAATTTACAGTGACCTTCCTGCCTCAGCCTTCCTAATCCTAGGATTACAGGTATATGTCATCAGGCCTGGCCTTTTTTTTTTTTTTTTTTTTGTACCAGGAATTGAACTCAAGATCTTGTACTTGACAGGCAGGCGCTGTACCACTGAGCTACATCCCTGGTCCCAGTCAATTTTTTTGGTTTTTTTTGACCAGGATTTTGCTATGTAGTTCAGGCTGACCTTGAACTCACTATGTAGTCCCAGCTGGTAAACAACTCTTGGTGATTCTTCTGCCTCAGCCTCATGAGTGCTGGGATTACAGTAGAGGTATCCATCACCACACCAGGTTCCACAACTATTTTTAAACATGATGCTAGGTTGGGTGTGGTGACACATGGCTGTAATCCCAGTACTTGGGAGGCTAAAGATCACAGGAAGTTTGAGGCCAACCTAGGGTACACAGAGAGCTCAAAGCCAGTTTGAACCACATAAGACCCTGTCTTAAAAATAAATAAAATAGCTGGGTGTGGTGGCTCACACCTGTAATCCCACATTTGGGAGGCTGAGACAGGAGGATTACCATGAGTTCAAAGCTAGCTTGCACTCCAGTGAGACCCTGTCTCAAAACACCCAGTAGAATAAAAACTAAAGCATGAATTCACAGGAAAAAATTTCATTTGGAAAGGTAAAACCCAAAGGATTTTAGCTTGAAGAGCTGACAAAATTCAGGCTGGCCCACAACAAAAGACAGAAAAAACAGAAAACAGCTGATTTGGGCAGCTGGTGGGGGCATAACCTGATGGATGAGATCAGACTGGCTCACCCACAAAAGTAGGAGACAGCTTTCAGGGTAACTGGTTCAGGGTTTGGTTGATCATGTCAATCCTGCTTTAGTAGCTCTGGAAGGATCTTTTATGGTTTGAGGGTCAATTTGTGCCCATAAGATGACTGTTTCTGTTTAGGGCAATCTCAGTCATTTGAGGCTCTGTTTTATTCTTGAATCCAGATGGTCACGGGTTTAGGACAATAGAGATTCTGGCACTAGCTAAATGTCCCTGTAAACCTCTTATCCTTGTGTCCTTAATCTTGAAGAGTGATGAGATTACATAATTTGGTTCGTCAACCTTGTTTATTGACTTTTATGCACTCCCTAAACAACTATATACAAAAGTTGAAAAGTTTTGTGGTAACAGGCTTTTGTTCTGGTTTTAGTTACTTACTGGGCATCTGCGGGCCCAAGTGAAGTACCAGTCTTTAGCAAAGACTACTTTTAAATACCTGACTACCTCGTAAGAAAAACACAATTCGCCCTTCTGCTAAGTAGACTAAGGGCCCCAGAGTCTGCCCATCCTCCACCAGATTAGTCATTACCAGCTCAGACTTTCAAACTGCCCACTCTTAACCCTGAAACTGCAGAGCTGTGAGGGTATCCAGAGCCAACTACTGGACAGCTCTCAGCATGCTCACTGGGGCTGTCTCCTCTCAGGGAGAGATGAGGGGACCCCCTATTCTAGTGTAACTGCAAATAGTGATGATGCAAGGCAGTGTTCAAAAGGCTGTCGATGGAAGAAGAGCCAACCAAAGATATCAAGTGAATAGACCTCACATACAAGTGTGCATAAGAAGATCAGGAGGCTGGTGATGCCCAAAATTCCTGGGCCTACTGTACACCATCCCGACCTTGACCACATCCTTTCAGGAGCTCCAACAGTCCCACTCCTGAAACCTAATAGTCTACCGGGGTCCTAACGGGGCACAAAACCTCCCAGAACTTGACTCAACAACCTTAAGCCCAAACCTGGAGTACGGTGGCTGTAAGGATCCAAAAGTGAACACATTTCCCAAAATGGCCACATGAGATGAGCCAAGCGCCTTAATATGGTAGTCTAAGTCTCAGGATATGCATGTGGCTTGCTTCCCCCATGCTCAAGACGTACATCGTTCATTCACTTTTCCTAAGGTGCGACGTTCTCTACGCCTGAAATAGACCATATTCCCCCTAAGAAAGATGTGCCTGTCTGCGCCGTGGTACTCCCCGACCGCATCAACATGGAGACGCTGCTTTCGTCACTCTCGAGACGATGTCAACTTGGCTAACGCCCCGCCACCCGCACACCGAGATGGCGGTTGTATTTCGTGAGCAGCGAGCCACTTCCGGACTACTTAAAATGGCGGTAGATGAGAGGGCGTGGCCGGGCGCGCGCGGCGCATGCTGGGACTCGCGCTGTGTGCCGGGAAGGGGCGGAGCGCTGCCGCGCCGGCGCGTCTAGAGAGAGGCAGCCGCGGAGATGGTGAGCGGGCACTGGGGGAGGGGCGGCCGGGCCGGGCCGGGGGCCGCGGGGGGCAGTGGGCCGCGCGCCCCGCGGGGGGCTGCCTCCGGATCCTGATGCGGGCGGGTCGCCTCCAGGACGTGTTCCTCATGATCCGGCGCCACAAGACCACCATCTTCACGGACGCCAAGGAGTCGAGCACCGTGTTCGAGCTGAAGCGCATCGTCGAGGGCATTCTCAAGCGGCCGCCCGACGAGCAGAGACTTTACAAGGTGCGGCGGACGAGCGGGCGTGTCAGTGGGGCCAGAGTGGCGCCTGCCAGGGCCCTCAGGTCGCGCCGAGGTCCCCCGCGGCTTGGAATCCCGTTCCCACTCCCTGCAGGCTCCCGCGGCCCTGGTCTGTGGTTGGGGAAACTGGCTCGGCGGAGTAGTGTTTTCCAGCTCTAAGTCCTAGCAAAAAGCCAGTATCTGAACTGTGTCATCCTTAATCCTTGGTTTGCCCGCGGGCCCACCGGGATCCCGCCCCCGGGCGTGAGATGAGACTCCGTCCAAAGAAATGCACTGACAAGATAGGTCAGGTCCCCCACTGCTAAACCGGGCCAACTATGTGTTACCCGCCAGGCTCTTGCTCATGTTCTGGAAGACCCCATCTTACAAGCCTACTGCAGTCATGCAGTAAGAGTGGCTGGGATATCGGGATTCTCACTAGGGAATCAAATGCCTTAGGCTTTGATTCATGTCTCCCAGAAGCACGAAGTCGGTCTACTAAGTGCTGTGACCCGATTTCAGCTGGAGACTAAGGAAATAGAGCCTCAACTTCGAATCTGTAATCAACATCGAATCTAAAAGTCTTTCCTCCCAGACATGGGCTGAGGCTTCCTCCATAATGACCCCTCCTGTCGCCTTTGCCTGTTCCAGGTGCCGCATTCCATACCTAGTGATTTCTGCATCTCCATAGTGCTTTTAAATCTCTGGTTGCCTTGTGATTGGGAATTCCAGTAATTCATATTTTACATATGGGAAAATTTGACCCAAAAAATGTTCCATCTGCTTTCTAAGATAACTTGAGAATCAAATCCAGCTCAGTTGTCTCTGCAGACTAGGTTGATGGCTCTTAAGTTAGATTCGTTGGGAAAAGCCAGATTCCATGGCTCTTTTAAGATTTTGATTTTAAGTTCTTAGCTGCAGTTGTGGAATCAGTATGACATACTCTGGGGTGTCACCCATAGTTGGGCTCTTCCTTCTGGCTTCTAGTGTAGTTGCAGGCCAAAAGAATGTGGGCCCTGGCTTTTCTGAGACCTCACCTAAGACCCTTCCTTCTCTCTTTAGGATGACCAGCTACTAGATGATGGCAAAACGCTGGGCGAGTGTGGTTTTACCAGCCAGACAGCAAGGCCACAAGCCCCAGCCACAGTGGGCCTGGCCTTCCGGGCAGGTAAGAGGGCAAGGGTGGGTGCCCATCCTACCAGCCTAAAGTTCCCATTTCCACAGTGGAGTGTGATGGGCCCAGCTTAATAAGAAGGCCACCTGAGCTTCAGCACCCATGCCTCCACTTGCCACAAGTGCTCCACAGCTGTAAGTCAACCTGCGTGATAATATTGAGGCAGTTTACCTGAGATAATTACCTGAGGTGAGATGATTGTACAGTTCAGGCCTCATACAAGGGTGCCCCTTTGAGGGGGCAAGTGAGGCTGAAAACACACCTGGTCCTAAGTCAAGCCAGGGCTGCATTCTCCAAGAAATGGCTTTTTCTGTGAATAGTAGTAGTTACCTCTCAAGACTTAGAATATGTTGGTAGTACTATTTTGCAGATTTGAAAATGATGTGGTGACCCTACATTCCTGTTATCTCCCAGGCAAGTGGTGGCTGTTGTGATAGGTGATATGAACTCTGGTCCCTCAAGGATTATTTGTAAAAAGGTGCTTTTGGGTACAGCTGACCGATCAGCTGGGCCTTGACTGGGTGTCACACCCTCCACTACTCATTTGTGCTAAAGGATGAGACAGATATTTCCCTACCCCCAAACTGCTCAGTTAGGGAGATGACAGTGTTAAAATCAGGTGTGAAATGGCATTGGCTAGACTAACCAACCACAAGAAAGGTAGTGGAAGAACTGACACTGCAGTTTTGTGACTTGATGATTTGGGACCAGATAACTCCATGCTGGGCCTTCCTGTGCATTACAAGATAATATGGAAGCATCCCTGGTGTTTCTTTGCAAAGTGCCATTTACAGCCTCCCCCTAATTCCAATTATAACGTATTATAAATACAGAACTTTTTGGAGTAACGGGGTCAGCTAAGAACTGTGAGCAGGTTGGAGAGGGGTCACTTGAGTGAAAGCAAGCATAGGTGAAAGAAAAATGAGGTTTGTGCGTTTTAATGCTAGGGCAGCAGTAGGAACTAGGAGCCAGTGTTGGGGTCAGCAAGTACAAAGGCCCTGAAGCAGGAAGGTTTTAGCATTATAGATAGATGACAAGACAAAAGCAGGGACTTTTTTAAAGTATAATCAGAGCCATGGGAAAGTTTAAGCAATCTCTGGCTTCTTGGTAAAGGTATAATGGAATAAACAAAATTCTGACTGAAAGTTGGGGATACAGAAAAGGTATAAGCATTCTGCTCAATGGTTCACAGATAGAAGTGTAAGAGTTTGTAGGGGTGGGAGACATTTCGATGCCCCGCTAGGTCAAGCAGCTAGAGAACTGGAGAACTCAAATCTTAAGGATTACTGCAGGTCAATGTCAGGACTCTGGTGCCACAGAAGTCAGGGCATTTTCTCCAGCTCTCTCCCTTTTCAACAGATGACACCTTTGAGGCCCTACGCATTGAGCCCTTCTCTAGCCCACCGGAGCTTCCAGATGTCATGAAGCCTCAGGACTCTGGAGGTAGCGCCAATGAACAAGCTGTGCAGTGAGGCCCTTTGCCCCAATAAAGAGATTTGTGTTTCTGCCTGTTGCTGCCTCTTTCTCACCCCACCACCCCCCTTTCCTGAGGCATTACCTTCCCCTAGGGTGATTCTTCCCCACTCCTCAAACTACTGCATACCAGGCTACTTGCTTTGCTGCCGAGTCACTCATTTTGGCTCAGCCTACCCCCTTAGAGGCACCATAGTATCTGAACCCCTGGGCCAGCCTGGTATAACTGTAGGGGACAGAAAGATCCATCCACATCAGGCCTCTGAGGCAGCACCAATGAACAAGCATTTTTTTCCAAAATACCTTCCACCCTTACCCATGCACTTTGAAAACTCATCTTGCTCAAGGTTTTTCAGGCTTCTCAGCAAAGGCCTGGCAGGATCACCAGTATAGCCTGGAGCCACGCTCTTGAGTGAACCAACCACATCTGAGGCCTTTAGGAAATCTGGCACACAGCCTTGGGGATTTCAGGAACACACTTAAAATAAAAGTCTACAGACCAATGCTGCATTTCTCACTTTTATTTGACAGAAAAAGTTGCTCTTGCTGTACAGATTTTAAAAAACCAAAATGCCTTTAAGAAACGTGAAGAAAAGTTGGGGGAGGAGGCCACAACTTCATGGGGGCAATCAGGGCCCCACTAAATGAATCAAACCACCCCTTCCAAGAACACCTCACACAACTTGCCAAGGATTAAGCCATCACCCACCCTCAGGACCTAAAAGGGGCCCACAACTCCCAAGACCTTTCTGATTTCAGGCTGAGGCATCCTGTAGTGTATCCTCCCCTCCCCTAACTCCTATCCACATTCCCTCCCACCCCAAATCCCCCAAAACACATGAACCAGGAAAAACTCACAAGAGGTTAACATTTCACAGGAACAAAGGAAAAAGGGTAGGGAGGACAGTCCTCCCCACAAGATGTTGCCCCAGAATTTCGCCAGGCAAACAAGGGCCCCTCCCAGAGCTCTGTTGGGGAAGAGGGGGCACACTGTGGCTCCGAAGCAAGGGATGCTGTGGAATCCCCTGAAATATTTATGGAGACCTGCAATAAAGAAGACTAGGATCAATGTGTGTAGGAGCTCCACCCAACCCGCAGCTTTCTAAGTTTTCCAGAGTGGTCTTCCCTGCAGTTAGGAGTGAGCCTCCCAAGGGGATGTACCTGGATGAGCGGTGTCGCACAGGCCGAGGGCTAGGTGTCTCCTTTCTGCGCTTGTGGCTTGGAGAGTGGCTGTCCCCACGTTGGCCCCTTCGGGAAACCCGTTCACTGTTGCTGCAACAGAATTACCATCAGACTCCAGAGTGAAAAGACACCATTCCTGTTCAACTTCCTTTTTGCACAAGTCATAGTGTCATGTAAGAGCAGGAATTAACACTTGCTGAGCCTTACCTCTGCTGGTCCCGTGGTGAGGGCTGGGGCGAGGGACGCCGATGCTCTACAGGTGAGTAACTCAGGGACCTGGAGTCTCGTAGGGAGTCTATTGGTTTTCGAGGACTGCGGGACCTGGAGAGCAGAGTAGGACTCCATAGCACCAGCTGTTCCAAACCCACCAGCTAGCACTCAGGACCACCCACCCAGGTCCTGACCACCAAACCTCACACCACGCAGGGCCAGCCTCAGACCCACCTTTGTCTGCACTCACCCATCCGCCCGCATAACATCCACCGAGTGCCCCCAGTGGGCAGGGCCCAGGGTACAGCGGGGGATGCAAAGAAAAAAAGACAGTCCCTGCCCTTGGAGGAGCTCAGTCTGGGAGTGAAGAAGGCCAACATGGGAGAAACACAGGGCCCCTTGTGTGGGAAACAGCCCCGCAGGAATTGATGTGCGATGGGCTGGGGACCCAGGGGTAGGGGTACAAGGACAAGGCAGGGAAGGGGCAGGGCAGTCTTCTTGAAGGTGCTGTTTTGAGTGGAGTCTTGCAGAACGAGGAGTTCACCAGGCGGACAAGGAAATTCCAGGCAGAAGGAACAGCATGTCCAAAGGCATGGGGCTCTCCTTAGACTGCAAGGCGCTGAGTGTGGCTGGAGCACAGGGCATGTATGGGGGCGGGCAGAGGAGCACAGGGTGGGCAAGGCCAGCTGGTGAAGAGCCTCACACGCCATTCCCGCAGAGGTGGGGCTTTATCCTGAAGGCCACAGGGCGTCCCGGAAGGATTTGTGGAGTGGAGGGAAGTAACCAGATGTGCGTTTTAGAAAGATCCCTCTGGCTACGTGTGGAAGAGAATGGCGTGGAGGCAGGGAGACAGGGAGGAGGCTGTGGACAGAGTCGGGAGAAGATGACGGTGGCCAGACCAGAGCCCTGCAGCAGCAATGGGGAAACTTAAGAGCTAGAATCCCTGGGACTAGACTGCATAGGGGGGAAGGGAGGGAAGGGAGGGAGGAAGAAACCTAGGACTTCCCAATTCCAGCTTCAGGACCCATTGGATGGTGAAGCCTTTTACCAGAAGAGGGCACCATAGAGTGGTGGGGAGTGCTGAGTGCCCAACTCCTCCCCAAAAGACCAGACAACAATGTCCACAAAAGGCACCCCAGCAGGGACCTCACCCAGGGTCCCTGCTCTGGAGAAGTCATTCCCACCCCCACTTCTACCCCAGGCAAGACAACACTCACCTCCGCTCCCCAGGGGCTGGTTTCTTGGGGCTTGCAGGTTTGGGTAAGGCCTGAGGGCCAGGCTTAGCAGGGGAGGGAGAGGAGGAAGAAGAGGAAGAGGAGGAAGAGGAGGAGGAAGAGGAAGAGGAGGAAGAGGAAGAAGAGGAGGAAGAAGAGGAGGAGGAAGAGGAAGATGAGGAGCTGGAACTGGAGCTGCTAGAGCGCCTCTTCCGCTTGGCTGGAGTTGGCTCCGGAGGACGTCCCTCTCGTACAACCTCCTTTGGGGCTTGGGTGGGGCTGGGGACCCTGTGGGAGAAGAGCAGTGTCACAAGGAAACAAGCTGCCCCAGCCCCAACCCTACCTTCCTTGGCCTGGAGGAACGGCAGTGGGGGAGGGGTGCCTGAGAAAGGCCTGGGAGTTCTTGGAGCCCTGGAAGGCGAGTCAGTGAGCATTTCTCTGGAGAGCAGTGGCCTGAGACGACCAGACCTCTGCTAAAACAAGCAACAGGCTGGGGCCCGAAGCACAAAGGATCAAGGTTAAACCTCAAGAATGTCCCTGATGGAAGAATAAGGCCTCTGGGCTCAGATGTGGAAGTTGAAGCTGGGTGGTCTCCTTCCTTGGAGAGCCGCAGCTTGGGGAGGCCCCTGTGAGTGGAGGTTGGCTGGGGAGGGGCCGTCCTGCCTGGAGGCAGGGAGAGGGATGGGATGACCTCTGAAGATCCTTCCAGCCCAGGGAGTTCCTCTTGAGGTCTAACTGCCATCCCTCCTGCTGTAAAATTAAGTCCATTTCCTCTAGTTCTGTCCTCTGTAGAGACGGAAAACTTATCATTATCCTCTAGAGAATTAATCTTTGGAGACTTTTACCTGTCCCATCCCTTCCCCCCACCCCATAACCCCCACCCCAGCATTTTCTTCTATCCCAATTTGAGGTTAAGATCCCCCTATCTCTTCAGAGCCAAAAACCTGTAATATGGTTTTCTCCCTCCCCACTCCCTTAATACATCCAACACTTTCCCCTGAAGAGACTCCTCAAAATCAAATCCCCTCACCTTTTCACTGCCACCTCAGGTTGAACAGGAAGGCTAGAGCCCTCTGAGTCACTAGAACTGGAGCCTGAGGATGATGATGACGACGAGGATGATGATGAGGAGGAAGAGCTGCTAGAAGATGAGGAGGAGGAGGAACTCCGCCGCTCCTTTGCTGGTTGCAAGGTGGCCAATGAAGAAGGCTGCTGGGCCCCAGTTGAGGCAGGTGGCTCCCCATCCTCAGGGTGGGACACCCCAGAGGCACAGCCAGAGAGCATGCCATTGTGATCACCAGCAGAAGATGAGATCTTCATTGTAGTCCCAGAGGAAAGGGACTGAGACCCTGCTCCAGGGGCAGACTGGGCCACTGAAGCACGGGACTGGTCTGAAAAACCAGATGGTACTGGGGACCTAGGTCGATCCTGTGCTGGGGGTACAGACTGTGAAGGCCCCTGAACCGTTCTGGAGGAAGGGGATGGGGCCCGCTCAGAGGTCATCCTAGACTGGCTAGGGGCAGATGGTGGTGTTCTGGACCTGGCTCGGTCAAGAAGTGGGGGTGAAGTTCTGCCACTAACACGTTCATAAGCAGAAATGGGTACCCTAGGGCTAGTGAGGTTTGCACCAGACAATGCTGGTGCCACCCTAGCACTGGTGAGACTTGCAGGAGTCAAGGCTGCAGGTGTTCTGGAGCTAGCAATATTCACAGGAGCTGTGGCATGTGCAGATCGAGGACCCACCAGGTTTGCGGAGGCTGGAGCCTGAGGCGTTCTGGAGCTAGCAGGGTAATTTGCAGCATTTGAGGGTGTGCCAGAGCCTGAGAGACTCAAAGCTGCCAATGCAGCTGGGGTTCTGGCTCCTGCTAGGTTCACAGCTGGGGCTGTAGGGGTTCTAGGATCAGCAAGGTTCACAGCTGAAGGTGCCACTGCTGTTCTGGGGCTGGCCAAGTTCATAGCTGCTGCTGCAGCTGGGGCCCTTGAGTCAGCCAGATTCACTGCTGTTGGGATGGCAGGTGTTCTGGCACTGGCTAGGTTCATGGCGGCTGCAGAGGCTGCAGGAATCCGGCTAGCAAGGTTGGCAGCTGGTGCTGTTCTAAGACTCATGAGAGGCACTGGAGCTGGAACTTGGGACATTCTTGCAGCAAGGCCAGCAGCAGACATGGATGGAGGTGGCCGAGCAGTGCCAAGACTGATGGCAGTCAGCGCAAGTGCAATTCTAGACTGAGCGTGATTTTCTGGCACAGATGCTCTTGGATGATCAGGTATTCGGGGACCTGGACCATCCATCATGGAGCCACTGCTCTGCTGTAGGACAGACATGGGTGTTCTAGCACTGCCAAGGGGTTCAAGCATTCCAGGTGATCTACATCGGTCAAGAGGAGTTGGTGACATGCTAGGACGACTGAAGCAGCTCATTCTGGAACTGCTGAGTGCTACAGGTGGTGTCCGAGAACCAGAATGATTTCTTGTTGCCGGAGGAGTAGCAGATCGTGAACGATCAGAACTACTTCCAGATGCAGAACGCCTGCGGATTGCTGGAGGAGACCTTGTTAAGGACCGTTTACCCCGAGCTGCTCGTGGACTTCGGGATCTAGAACGGCGGCGTAAAGCAAGAGGTGAGCGACTTCGAGAACGTTTCCGTGGCAACAGTGGTGTTCGAGATCTAGAGCGACGCCTAATAGCTGGAGGTGTTCGGGACCTTGAGCGGCGGCGCGTCACTGGAGAGGTTCGAGAGCGGGACCTTCTTCGAGTAACAGATGTGCGGGATCGAGATCTCCTGCGAGTGACTGGAGATGTTCTAGATCTTGATCTTCTGCGAGTGATAGGTGAAGTTCTACTTCGAGATCGCCTCCTGGTTACTGGTGGAGTCCTAGATCTGGACCTTCGACGAGTCACAGGTGGTGTTCTAGAACGGGACCTCCGGCGTGTTGGTGTTCTGGACCTTGAACGGCGACGGGTTACTGGTGGTGTTCTGGACCTGGATCGCCGCCTACTCACTGGGGATGCTCTTGATCGTGATCTTCGTCGAGTCACTGATGTCCTGGACCTTGACCGTCTCCGACTCACAGGTGAGGTTCGAGACCTGGATCTACGTCGACTAATCAGAGGTGTTCTGGACCTAGAGCGACGGTGAGCAGCTGGAGAGGCTCGAGATCTAGAGCGTTTCCACGGGGCTGGTGACGTTCGTGACCTTGAACGCTTCCGACTGGTTGGTGGTGTCCGAGAGCGGGCTCTTCGGCGACGAGAGGAAGTTCGGGAACTTTCCTGACGGGCAGGTGACCTTGAGTGGTAACCAGAGCCTCCCCTCCGCCTACGAGTGACTCGAGACCTGGACCGGCTCCGCTGTCTTCTCCGAGAGGTTGACTGAGAAGAACCAGACCTATCTCGACGTCGAGCTGTCCTAGTTTTCTCTCTACGTGAACGGGAACGAGACCTCTGTAGCCCACGGGGCTTTGGTGAAGGAGAACGGCCTCTCCTTGAAGTTGGCTTAGTGCGTGGAGATGAAGCTGAGCGCCTGCGACGTGATGATCTTGACTTTTCAGCTGGCTCTGGAGAAGACACCGACGGACTTCTTCGGCGTCTCGGGGGAGTTCTAGAGCGAGTTTCTGGTGATGAGGAGGCAGAACGGCTCCTACGGGACAGCCTTGCTTTTCTAGTTAGCTCAGGAGAGGATCGAGAGCTGCGACGTCGAGGTGGTGTGCGAGACTTGGTCTTTGGCTCTGGTGAGGACCTGGAGCCTCTTCGAGCTGTTCTAGATTTGGGTGGGTGCTCTGGAGAAGACTCAGAACTGCTGCTTCCTTCAGTAGGGTCTCGACCTTTACTTGATGAACCTGATCTGCTACGTTTGGGAAGAGCCCGAGGGACAGGTACTTTGGGTTCAGGAGAGGAATCAGAACCACTCTGGGCCCTGGGCCCTGCTCTTTGCTTTTCTTTAACTTCAGGGGATGAGGCAGACCTACTGCGCCGAGGAGAAGTTCTGGACTTGCTGTCTACCTCTGGAGATGATCCAGAATGACTCCTCTGCCTGAGTGGGCTTCGTGTCTTGGCTTTAGAATCTGGAGAAGAGTCTGACTCACTTCTTTCCTGAGGAGATGCACTGGGCTTCCCTTCAAGTTCTTGAGATGATTCAGATCGACTTCTCTGCCCAAGGGGAGTCCTTCCTGCAGTTTTTGGTTCAACTGATGATTCTGACTCACTTCTCTCTCTCTGGGGGGTGAGACACTTATTGTTGAGCTCTGGGGATGAAGGAGAACGACTTCTTGGTCTAGGAGTCTGAGGCAACACTTTTGGTTCTGGGGAAGAATCACATTCACTCTGTCCCCTTGATGGGGTTCTAGGTAACACTTTCATTCCAGGAGAGGACCCAGAATGACTATGCCTAGAGGGAGTCCCAGACCCATCCCTAAGTCCTGGAGAACCAGATCGGCTTCTCCTTGATGGAGTTCTGGGTAAACCATCTTTCAATTCAGGAGATGATGCAGAACTACTTCTTTCTCTTGATGGTGTTCTTGGTACAGCATCAAGTACAGGTGACGAGATACTCTGAGTTGACGACATTCCTGCCTTTTCTGCTGTTTCTGGTGATAACTCAGAACTACTGTGCCTGGATGATCTTGATTGTTCTTTCATATCTACAGATGGGTCAGTCTCCAGCTGGTTAAGGAAGGGCCCATTCAAATCTTCCTTAACTTCAGGAGAAAATATAGTATTCATCTCTGTGGCAGGGCCTGAACTTCTAAATTCTAAAGGTGATCCAAAGCTGTTCTCCCCAGGAGACAGTTCTTTATGTTCTGGAGAAAAATGTGGCCCTTCCCAACATGAGGCCACTGCAGGGACTTCTGCTTCCAAAGGTGGCTGTGACTGACATTGATCAAGAGCCAATGATGCAGCTGACCTTTCTTCTACTTCAGGAGATGATTCAAAGTTACTTCCAGTCACTTCTTTAAGCTCAGGAGACATATGTGGCAGGACCTGGTTTGAAGGTGGTTCAGATTTTTCTATCACCTCCATTAATTTCTCACCGTTTGGTTCAGGTGAAGTACATTTTTGGTCTTTTGTATCTAAAGGTGATCCAGCAGCACTTCTCTCTCTTGAAGGGATTCTAGATGAGTCTTTAGCTGGTGAAGATTCAGGTCTATCTTGCACAGGAAGGTTAAATTTGTCTTCTAGTCTTGGAGGTGATGCAGTAACGCTAGTGTCTTCATGAAGGGATACACTTGTTTTTTCTTTTGATTCAAGAGAAGGTTCTAATCTGATCTGTCCCAGAAGAGATTTGGAGTCCAATGCAAGATATGGTAACCTGCTCTGTTCAGGAGACATGCCTGACTTCAACCTAGGACTTGCTGACAACTCACTTGTATCTTGTTTTATTGGAGATCTAGATGCCAACTCAGTGGCTGGAGAGGAGGACCTGGACCAGCCACTCTTAGGTGGTGTTTGAGATTTGCTCTGCAAAGATGGAGATTCTACAGGACCCTGTTTTACTTCTGCATCTGAAGCATCAAGTTTTGACTCTGGCAAAACTTCAGGCTGTCCTTTCTGTTGCAAAAATGAGTCAAAATAGCTCTCTCCTACTGGTGTGCTAGATGTTACTCCTGGACAGAGGGAGGATTCAGAGCAACTCTGTGGTGCTGTGTCTTTAGACTTCTCCAAGGAAGATGGTGACTTTGATTCAGAAAGACTCTGCCCAGGTGGCGTCTGGGGCTTTTCCCTGGGGTACGGTGATGTAGACCCTGACTGGCTTATTCTTAATGGAGTTTCAAGCTGCACTTTGACATCTGGTGAGGAGGATCTAGAATGGCTATGCCTTGGTAACAATCCAGATTCCACCTTGAAGCAAGGAGATACTGATCTGCTTTGCCTTGGAGGTGTTCTAGATGCCACTCTACCAGGACTTGGAGAAGAGGAGCCAGAATGGCTTCGTCTTGGTGACAGTACTGCCTTCACTGTGGGTTGAGGAGATGAGGACTTTGATGCACTCTGTGCTGGAGACGTGTGAGATTTCACTTGTGATGGAGAGGACCCAGAGCAGCTGTGTCTAGAAGGGGTCCTAGATTTCAGTTCAGGGTCAGGTGGTGATTCAGATCGGCTCTGTCTTTGTGGTGTTGCAGATTGTTCATTGGTCTGGGGACTTGTTAGAGAACCCAGTTTTGGTGGTGTTCCAGGTTTCACCTTATTGTAAGGAGGTGAACTGGAACGACTTTGTCTTGATGGTGATTTAGATTTCTGTTTAGGTGATGATAAAGAACCAGAGCGACTTCGCCTTGGTGTTCTAGATTCAGCTTTAGGTTGGGATGATCCAGATCGACTGCGTCTAGGTGGTGTCTGTGACTTTTGTTTAGGGCATGGAGAAGATCCTGAAAAGCTTCGCCTCAAAGACAAGCGAGATTTTGCCTTGGATCGTGGTGAAGAGAGAGATCTGCTCCGCCTTGAGATGTGTGATTTTTTCATTTCTGGGCTTGAGTTGGACCTGCTCCTCCTCTGAGATGCTCTGGATTTGTTTTTACGGTCTGACGATGAGCCAGACCTGCCTCTTCTTGGTGGTGTTCTAGAGTGAGATCTTCCACGTCTGACTAGACTCCTACTCCGAGATCTTCCTCGTCTTGCTGGTGTTCTAGATCGAGACCTTCCACGCCTGGCTGGAGTCCTAGAGCGCGAGCGGCCACTGCGTCTAGCTGGTGTTCTAGAGCGCGAGCGTCCACGCCTGGCTGGTGTTCTAGAGCGCGAACGTCCACGCCTGGTTGGAGTTCTAGAGCGTGACCTACCACTTCTCCTGGCTGGAGATCTACTACGAGATCTCCGTCTTACTGGTGACCGGGTCCTAGATCTGCGCCTAGCAGGTGTTCTAGACCGAGACCTGGCCCTCCGAGCTGGTGTTCTGGACCGAGACCTGCGCCTAGCAGGTGTTCTGGACCGAGACCTGCGTCTGGTTGGTGTTCTAGACCGAGATCTACCACGCCGGGTTGGTGTTCTAGACCGAGATCTGCCTCTAGTGGCTGGAGATCTAGAGTGTGACCTGCCTCGCCTTGCTGACCTAGACCTGCCTCTTCTCTGGGTATTTCTGCTCCTGGACCATCCTGGTCGCTGAGGAGATCTAGAGCGACCACGCCTCTGGGGACTTCTAGATCTTCCCCACCTCTGTGCAGACCGAGACCTACGCCATTGTGGGGACCTAGACCGAGAATGACCTCTCTTAGGGGTTCGAGAACGAGATCGCCCTCTCTTAGTAGTGGCAGGGCTACGAGATCTTCCCGTTCTACGAGAAGGAGTATGAGAATGTGATTTATCTCGCTTTGCTCGACCATGTGAGCGATTCTTGGGTGTAGGAGAAGAAGAAATCTCTCTATGCGTGCCAGGAACTGGTGCAAGTTTAGGGCTTTCAGGGGAAGAGCTGGCATGCCGAGAAGCTTTGGTAGGTTGAGGGGATGGTGGGCAGCTCTCTGAAGATGACTGGGGAGGTTTCTCAGGAGACTTAGGTGGTGAATGGCCCCGGGTTGGGGAGGCCTCAGAAGGAGGGTTCACTGGCTCCTGACTTAAAGAGGTTTTTGCAAGCGGGGAGCCGGCATGCTGCTCAATAAGCAGTGGAGTGGGAGCTGGTGGTTCTGGGCCTGTGCTGCTCCTTTCCGGAGAGGGGCTAGATCGAACTGTAGATTTCTAAGAGTGGAAGAGAGTGGAGATAGGGAGTATGTAAATAAACATAAGAACTTCATTATCACCTGTAAAATCTTAACATCCTTTCCAAGGGAACTTTTCTTTTATCCTCCCCATAATACCAATTAGTCCTCTGCCTCACCAGACACTTGTATTAACACATCATCATATAAAGCACAATAGGAAAAATATATGGAGGTAACAAAATCTGTGACCTTGAGTCTTATAAGTTAGGCATGACAGTGCATGCCTGTAATCTCAGCATTTGGGAGGCTGAGGCAAGAGAATCATGGCAAATTTGAGACTAGCTTGAACTACAAAGTGAGTTCAAGGTAAGCCTGTACTACAGAATACCCTCTATCAAAAAGAGAAAAAAAATTTTTATAACCTAGTTGGGCAGGGTAACACACAACCTGTAATCTCAACACTCTCCTGAGGTAAAATCACAATTCCAACGCTAGCCAAGCCTCATGGATCATGCCGATAATCCCAGCACTTCAGAAACTGAGGTAGGAGGACTGTCACAAGTTCAAGGCCAAACTGAACTACATGAAACAAAAATGGAAAAAGAATTTTTTCCAATTCTAATTTGGGTAATTTAGTGACTTAGCAAAACTAAGTGTACTATAACAAAAAATACTACTACAAAATATTTTAAGGACAGAAGAAAAGGGCCAGGGATTTAGCTCAGTGGCATTAAGTGCCTGCCTAATAAGCACAAGGTCTTGAGTTTGAAAACCAGTACCACAAAAAAAAAAAAGAAAAGAAGGTTTATGGTTTTTGGGTGGTGAGGGGAACTCCTAGGGATTAAACTCAGGGCCTGAGACATGCTGACATTATTAACTATTAACCCCTCAAATAGTATTCCAAACAGAAACAAAGAACAGTTTCATCCTAAAATGGGTGGCACCTGACCTCATCCTTGAGGTATAATTACATTAAAAAAAAAAAAAAAAAGAGAGAGAGAGAGAAAGAAAAAGAAAAGCAAGGTTTTTGGTTTTTTGAGACAAGGTCTCACTGTGTAGCCCAGGCTGGCCTCAATCTCATGGTGACTCCTTCTGCCAAGTGCTGGGATTATAGGTGTCTGCCACCATATCCTGCATAAACAAGGTTCTTGAGAATATGATTTGTGGGAAAAACTAAAAAACTGACCAGCAACAATGGATGCAATTAGTAGTAGAATACACACAGAGACCTACCCCTAGGTTAAAGCCTCAGCCCAGGAGTAATAAATTGACCAGGATGGCTGAAGTTCAAGGAAAAATGATACTACAACTATAGAAGCCTTGATTATAATTCAAATACAATGAATAAAATTTCTGAGGTGTGCAGGTCCTTGATTTGGAATGTTAAACAATGGATAAAATGGCGGTTGGAACAGTCCAATTAAAGTAACATCATAGAAGCTAAGCAAAAAAATACAACGAGGATTTAGAATTAAAATAAAGGACATAAATTGCACATTTTAGATTTATGATCAATTTTGTGTTAATTTATGCAGCTGAGTTTTTGTTTTGTACATGAATATCCAATGTTTCCAATACTATTTGTTGGAAAGTATTATTATTTTTTTTTAAATCAGTACCAGGTATCAAACTCACGACCATGCGCTTGCAAGGCAGGCGCTTATGTCGCTGAGCTAAATCCCCAGCCCCAAAATAAAGGACATAAAACAAGAAATTACTGAAGAGACCACTCATGTGTTTTCAAACTGTTGACACCAACCCAGTGTTGAAAAATTTTAATGTATTATAACTATCATGTAATAAAGTACATGTGGTTTAAATTTTTGTTTCAAATTCTTAGCATCTAGTGAAGTTTGATTCTAAAGTCTTCACTATTCAGTCACTCACAATTATAAAGTATGTGAGACATACAGAGAACTTTGTATAAAGAAGAGAAACACACACAAAAAGAACTAGACTGCTTTTTGTTTCTTTGACAATCTTGGCCATGTATTCTACATATTATAGGCTAACCTTGAACTTTTATAGGCCCATCTTGCCTTAAACTCACAGCAATCCTCCTGCCCCAGCCTAAGTGCTAGAATTACAGGCACATGCCACCTGCCCAGCCTAATTCAACTACTCTGAATCAACTATCATCTGGCCATGCCTGTAAACATTGGGAGGTTTAAGCAGGAGGATCACAAGTTCAAGCCTAGTCTAGGGAACTTTACAAGATTACATTTCAAAATGGAAAATAAAGTTGGAATTATAGCTCAGTGTAAAGTTCCTGGGTTCAATCCCTAGTAGAAAGCAGAGAGGATTCCCTTCACTTCACACCTGTCCTAAAACTTCGCAGAAACTCAGGAACTTACCTCCTTCTTGTCTTTGTCTTCATAAGGACTGCTAGGCTGCTTTGTAGAGAGCTCTGGACTGTTAGGCCGTTGTGTGTTTGTGGTACCTAATTCACCAGAAGGTGGATCTCCCACCCCTTGGCACCCTGAACCAGGGGAAGGACTTCGTCCAGTCAAGACATGTGTTTTAGCTGCAGCACTTCGAGACCTGTGGGAGTTAACGGGTGGTGGGGGAATGCAGGGTCATCAGCTCAATGGAGAACAGAAAACCCCCTCCCCCAACTCCCATCCAACTTTAACTGTACAACCCTCTTCCAAGAGACCTTAGTTACATGACTCAAATCATTCAAGAAATAGTCAGAAACTCTGTTCTATCTTCCTAACACAATTCCCCAAAAATGTTTTCCCTCTCCCCCTTTATTCACCTCCCCCAAACATCCCCAAGCCCACCACCAGGCCCATTCCCTACCTGCTTCATTTACAACTCACCTCTCAGCCCACCTCCTTCAGGAAGCCTTCCCCGATTAAGGAAGCCAGGGTAAGGATTCCTTCCTCCCCCAGACACCATGAACAGACCCCCCCTCCCCTATTCTGGCAGTCCATATACAGCATAACAAAACAAAACAAAACAAATTAAAAAAAAAAAAAAAAGAGAAGGGGAAATGTATATGTCTGTCCATCCTGTTGCTTTAGCCTGTCAGCTCCTAGAGGGCAGGGACCGTGTCTTCCGAATGGTCTGTGCAGCGCCTAGCACACCGTGGGCGCTCAATAAATATTAAGTTGATTAACCCACGATTCCCTCACCCTTCCCTCCTCTTGGACTACCCCTTACCGACTTCGAGAAGTGTCAGAGGAAGAAGCAGAGTCAGCAGAGGTTGAACGGTGGGCCCGGCGGCTCTTGGGAGCTGGTGTTGTACTACGAGACCTAAAGAAGACCACCACACAGCTCAAGCTAATGTCACATTTATACTGAATGCTTTTTACCCATCTCTCAACCTTTTACCATTCAGAAAGATGACAGATTCTAAGAAATCACTCATCTGATTTACTAAGCAAACTGCCCTCAAATTCACTTACCGCTTCCGCTTCTTGTCTTTAGATTTACGTTTGCTCTTTGGAGTGGGAGACCTGGGAAACAAAGCAAGTTGTTAAACAGGAAATTTTTTTATAAAGGAAACCAGAGATCTCAGAGGCAGTGATACCAGAAAAGCTCAATAAATCAAAATTCCAATAAAGTAGCTTTACTCAAGAAAAAAACCTCCCACTGGTCAAATAAACAGCAATCAAGGATTAGGTAAAAAAGAGCAAGCAAGGTCTTCAAGCAATAGTTCTCCACTTCCATTTGCAACACTCTTCTATGAGACAAAGAGCTCTTACCTGTGCTTCCGTTTCTTTGACTCAGATTCTGATCTGTTAAGGAAAAACAAAATACAAAACATAAAGCTACATATAGCCAGAACTCAGGAAGCCTCCAATTATTCTAAGTACTTTCACTGCATACCTGTGCTTCTTCTTCTTTGAGCTTTTCTTCCTCTCCCTTCGAGGAGAGCTGCTCTCTGACCTGCTAAACATGGGTTCAAAAGCAAGGTCATTCTGCTTGGCTTCTTTGGGAGTCCTCCCACTTACATACAACTCATCCTCAAAAATGATTCTAAAGCACCTTAACAATCCCAATCAATACTTCTTAGCCCTAGCCCTGCAGCTTATTTTTTTTACTATGTAACACATAGATAACTTCTTAAATCAACAAACCTAAAAATAAAACTCCAGAAATCCAAAATGTTGCTAGCCAAGAGGCTGGGGATTTAGCTCAGCGGCATAAACGCCTGCCTTGCAAGTAGGCAGTCGTGAGTTAGATCCCTGGTACCGATAAAAACGAAAAAGACCAAAAAAAAAAAAAAAAAAAAAAAAAAAAAAGGCTGCTAGCCAGTTCTTAAGTGACAAGGATACAGATTCAACCCTTCTAAGAAGCTTCTCCCAGCTAAAACCTGAAATGCTAACTTCTTCCTGACTTTTCTGACAGATGCCACCTACTCCATGAAAGCAGAATCATTGTCTACAAAAGTATACCACAAGATTGGTCCCAACTAATTTACCGTCCTCTATCTTTCTTCTTTTTCTTCTTCTTTTGCTTTGGGGTTGGTGAGCGAGAACTGCTGGACTCTCGCACAAGGCTGCAAAACAATAAAATGGTAGCTGTCAAGACAAATTCTTAAGATGTTTCAAACTCAGAAGAACAAAATATCAAGAATTTGGAAAAAAAACCACACACACACACACACACACACACAGCAGGGTGCTAAAAACTAAGAAGAGAAACTAATACTTGTTGCTTGATCTTGAATACCTGTAAGGTTTGGGAGGCTCAGGAGCAGGTTTGGCTTCTCGAGCACGACGCTGTGGATCAAAAGAGCTGCCATCCACATAGGAATCACTGATACCAAAAGCAGCACGTAGTCGCTCATTCTTTTTCTCATTTAATTCTGCCAACTGGTGGGTCTCAGTTACCCTAGAGGAACAAAAGCCAAAATTCTGAAGGATATAAAAAGCAAAAAGCGTAGCCACATTCAGAATTGTAAATAGAAGCCAAATAGCTATCAGTAAGAAAGACATAAGGGGGAAATTCCAGGTAAGAAAACACAGCAACAGTGGGTATAGAGTATACAGGAAACCAAGGGAGAGCTCAACACTCACGCTGGCCTCTGCCCTGGGGTCTCCTCCTTGCCCCCAGGATTCACATCCTTCTCCAGCAACATGAGTCGAAAGGTCGCCACTTTCTCCTGAATTTGTTGTTCCTCGTACCTAAAGGACAAATCCCTTTCAGGTTAGAGCTTGATAGAGCACCTTCCCCAGTCCCAGGTTTACGTTTTCTTCTTCCCAACAAGGTCTATTCCTTCTCCGTGCAGAAACGGAATTTTTTCACTCACTGTCACCCGAGAACCCCATTGTTCTGATCTTTCCTGTCATCTTTATTCCCTCTATTCATTATATCCTCTAGAACAGTGGATTTTAAACATGCTACAATTCAAGGGTCAAGAAAAGTAAAGTCAACTGGCAAAGTTCGCATTGCTCCTCCCCAACTTTGATAAGAATGGATCTTTTACTTCCTGAGACTCCAAAGTTATATTACATAAAATAAAAATCATTGATAAAGTTTGAAAACCACTGCTCTAAAAGGTTTTTTTCCTCAGTCCGCTCCTTTATGGTACTTTCCACTTCCCTACCCATCCCATGATACTTATTCAAGTATTCTTCCAATTCCTATTTTTCTACAAATTCCTATTTTTCTGCCTCTACTTTCCAAGCCTCAATCCTTAAATCCATTTACTTGTTTCCTACGAATGACAACACCTGTCAGCTTATCTAACTCATTTCCTGCCTGACCTGATTTTCTGACAACTGATTTTTGCTCTTCAATGGCCCTTTTTTCCCCATGTGCATCCACCTAAATAATACAGACTCCCTGAGGCTCCCATGTATATTCCAGGTACAGTTTCTTCATCTTCTTTGCACTGTATCTTAATTCTTTTCAATTCTCTAAATCATCTAGCTCCTCCCTTACAACTCCTTTCCAGGCCTCTTTCAAACAGCCGTAAGCTCTACACATCCCATCTAACACCCAGCTCTGCGCTCATTCAGTGCTTGGCTCTCCCAAACCCTCCCCTCACCCCTGCTCTTCCATCATCTCCTCCAGCTCGAGGCATCGCAGCTCCACGCGCCGCTTGCGCTCGTGGTCCAGGATGTCAGGATTAGGCCGCTTCACCAGGGCAGCCTCCAGGCGCCGCAGTTCCTCCTCTCCCTTGTAGTCAGGCCGCTCACCACGGCGGCCCCTCACCAGGGACAGGTTGCGCTGGACGTAGCCGTTGGTGCCGCTGCCCCGGGGCGTCGGCAGCCCGATCCCGTTGTACATGGCCCTGTGCCCAGGGGGGGCACCACCACTCCTGGGGGGGAGCGGGGAGACACGGGTCAGGCCCCTGGCTCCAAACTAACCACTCACCACCTCCCATGTCCCTGCTCTCCTTCATGCCTAGTTCAGCAATTATCTTTTTACTACCTCTTTTATTAACTGCATTCTTCCTTATTTTCTTGATTTCCAAATAAACCCCCTCACGTTCACCACTGCTTCTTTTCTAGCAAAGCTTAACACAGCTCTTAGTCTTTTTCTCCCAATGCTTTTTACAGAATTCTAAGCCGTTTCTCCTTACATTTGTATTTCTTTCACCATCCTAAGAAAACAACTTTCCTCTTTTTCCCTCCAATCTCTCCATACTACCCCTATATTCTTCACTGTTGCTAATATGCACAAATAGTTGACAAATAGTCAACTTTTCTTATGTTCAAACCCTCCAAATAAGACACAACCAACACTACACACAGAACTATAACATGTAACAGTTAAGGGCCCACAGTACACATCTTCCTAGGATTCATCTAAGAATTTCAGACTATTTCAGTAAAAACACAAAAAGAGACTGAACAGTCCCTAAGTGTAAGAACAGTCAGACTGACTGGTTAACATAAATCAAGTGTCCTTTGCAGTCTCACATTGAACTACAGGCCAACATGCACATGGAGTCATGAATATGTAATCTTATACTTCTCCCAGGGAAGGAGCCATTTCTTTGATTCCAAATATTGATATCTCTTATCAACTATCCTGGTATTTATTCCTTCAATTTCCTTCTCAATAGGATTTGCCACATGACCTGTAGCTCCTCCAAGTCTCGATGGCTTTTATTAAATATTATCTGCCTTCAATTCAATCTTAAACATCAAACCAGCCTCCTGTTACAAATGTTCCTTTATTTTTCTCTATATATCTTACCCTAAGTGTATCTAAAATCTTAAATCTATATACTTCACTTTTCATTAAACTTCAACAGTTGACTTTCCCTGCCAACCTGTTGCATACTTCCTATTTTTTTCCTCTCCTAATCCCATCTTATCATTTACATATTAACTTATGCCTTCTGCCAAATTCCATTCTCCCAATTTACCTCATCCCCAGCAGGGCTGCAACGAACCTCCAAGCCTGTTTTTCTAGCTAGATTTATTGGCTGTGTGCTACATATGCTGTTTCCTTTTCCATTACATTTTCTCCAGAAAGTTACAGAAAGCACAATTGTGTAAGAGAAAATTACCTCAGGAAATCCCAACAAATAAGCAAAGCAGAATTATAAAAAAAAAAAAAAGACAAAAAAAAAAAAGAGAAAGAAATGGGATTGAATGAAATACTGCATTTAGAAAATTCCAGAATAGGGATGGGGATTTAGCTCAGCGGCATAAGCACCCGCCTTGCAAGCCGGCGGTCGTGAGTTCAATTCCCAGTACCGATTAAAAAAACAAAACAAAACAAAAAAAAAAACAACTCCAGAATAAAGCATCACACATCTGCCTAGAGAAAAAAAGACATCAAAGCATAAAGAATGGAAAAATAAATATGGGAAGACATTAACTAAAAACATTTGCCCTCACCCAAATCCAAGGATAGGTCCCTGCTCAATCTCAGTACGAGACTCAAAAGAAAATTATAAGAAACACAGAAAATAACTATACCATGGGATAAAGGAGTAACAGACTACACTAAATCCAGAGACTCGCAAGCAAGAAATTCAAGTCAAACTCAAAAACTACAATACAAGAAATCGGTTTAATTCTCCATTCTAAACCCAGGTCCATCCGTCACCTAATTTCTGCTTCCCTTGCAAAATGCTTCTGACCTGCAATTAATACTTCGATGTAATCATTCACCCACTTTCATACCTCACATAAAAATCCTCCCACTTCCTAGGGGGAAAGTCAGCAGCTACGAAGCAAAGGATAGTAATTTCACAATGTTTTGGGTAATTTTTAGGAAACCACGGGGGAGGTGGGCGCTCCAAAGTACAAAACCACAGCACCTGGAGCTGGGTGGCACAAGTGCCTGCCTGGCAAAGTGTGAGATCGCTGAGTTCGATCCTCGGTACCAAAAAAATAAATAAAACCATGTTCACGGCATTAAAAGAAATAATATCAGTTTCAATCCCTGGTACCGATAAAAAGGAAAAAGACAAAAAAAAAAAAAAAGAAATAATATCAGTAACATGAAACTTCCAAGACCAGAGTACGCTTTAGAAACGAGTTCAGACTGGGTATGCAAAAATCACCCAAGACAAAAGGAGAAAGTAAAACCTGCAAAAGACATCAATTTTTCCTGTTGAGCCAGGCACGGTGGCACACGTCTGTAATCCCAGCACTCAAAAGGCTGAGGCAATAGGATCACCACCAATTCGAGGCCAGCCTGGGCTTACACAGTGAATCCTGGCCAGCGTGCATTACATAGTGAGACTGTCTCCAAAAAAAAAAAAAAAAAAAAAAAAGAAAAAAAAGTTCCTGTTGGAAAAGTACCAGAATGCCAAACTAGTAACCAAGTAGAAAACTATCTCGAAATCTAATATTGATACTCAAGAAAGGAAAGGACACCAAAAGAATGGAAGAATGTCCAGGAAATGGACCTAGGTTACTGTATGGGACACTGTAGTAGCTGAACACGCTATGGAACCCAGAAAGCTAAAACATCGAAAGACAGCTCTAAACCAATGTACTGAGAACGAAATGAAAGACTAGATTTTCGATTCAGGGTAGAGAACAGTAAACGGAAACCGAGGCTTAAGAGTTTCATGCAAGGTAATCCCTCAAACGAGACACCAGAACATCCAGAGTCTAGAATTTTCTTCTCAACGAAAAGCTCCAAAAGCTTTCCCAGCTTTAACACTTTTAGTATCAAACAAAAACAGCACATGGCCTACCTTACGAACAGACTATTTTTTTCTTTTTTGATTTTCAGTATTTGCAGCTTTCCCCCACCCCTTAATAATTTCACAGCTAATACTAACGAATCCAATCTGCTGCAATCCAGGCGAGCTAGTGCAAGGTCCTCTCCGCGCTGAATAGGCGTAGAGGACTATTTTCGGCCTTGAGGAATGGGGGAAGGGGCGCGGCGTCCCGCAGTCTAGGCGACTCCGGGCGGTTCACAGGCCTCCCCTCACCCCCAGAGCGTCGGGAAAGTAAAAGGCCTAGAATCGAGAATGGATGCAGGCCAGGAGAATGGATCCCTGAACAGCCTCCTCACCACCTACTTCGCGCTACTTAAAAGCCGCAAAGGGCTGCAAGAGTGAACACAGCTCCAGCTGCACACGCGGGGGAGGCGAGGAGCCGAGTCTCGCGCGCTCCCTTCCTCCAAGGGCGCGCGCAAACCCGAGCACAGACGGCGGCACGCGCTGTTGCCATGGGGGAGGGGCGAGAGGACCTAAGGCCCCGCACCAGAAACGCGCGAAGGGGGAGGGGAGGCAAGCAAGGGAGGCCTCCGCGCAGGACGAGCGCGGAGAGCACGAGCGCGTGCGCGCGGAGGACTGGGCCGCGCTCCGCGCGCTTTGGCCCAGTGCCGGGGCCGCCACCCCTCCCCCACCCAACTCGCGCGCTCCCCCACCCTCTCACCCGCCGCCGCCTCCTCCTCCGCCTGCCGCCTTCGAGGAGAGGTCCTGCCGCCGCTTGACCACCTAAGTGTTCTTCAAGGCCTGGAGCCGCTGCCTAGGCTCCCCGGTCCGCCCGCCTCAGACGACACGGACGCCACCTCGTTTCCTCAGGGGCCGCAGCAGGCTCCGACTGCGCCACTCGCACCCAGCTTGGGCCGCGCTGCACGTCAGCACGACTAAGTGCGTCAGCACGCAACCGCGCGGGCCGCAAGGGCCGCCGGGAGCAGTGGTACGCCTCAGGACTTTGTGCGCAGGCGCTAAAACTACCCCGGGAAGCCTAGTTTCTTAAAGAGAAAAGGAGATTGGGCCCGGTTGCCGAGAAACTACCAGTCCCGTCGGCCAGTGCGGGGAAGGGCGGGGGAGCGGGTCCAAGCTGCAACGTCTGCTGTAGTCTTCTGCTGGGGGAGGGGCGCAGAACCTAGCCTCACATCTAGTGGCGCCCCCCACCTTCCAAGCGCATCTTGGGCTCCGGTTTACAGCTGGCCTGGCATGGCCTGGAACCCATATATAGGCCCAGTGTGAGGCACGGCCATTTTGTGTCCATGTTCAGCAGCAATGGCTGGAGATAGGAGAAGGTGCCCAGTTCTTTGTGACTGTGACCCTCCCCAGACTGCCCACCACATGTCTTCCCATGCTTGGGAGGAATCGTCTCAGACCCTACCTAGCGGATCCCGTTGGAAGCCTTGAATCTAGCAGGGTTTTCCAGCTGGAGACCTGGGAGGCATTTTTATTATCTTCTGGTGATGAGACCAGGCATGATGCAGTTTTTTCACCTGGAGACTCTTGGACGTATTGTATATAAAAGTGCACACACTGATGAATGTGGCAAGAGATAATGTGAAAAGCACCCTGAAAGTACGGTGGGAAGCCGGGTGAGGTGGTGCACACCTGTAATCCCAGCACTCAGGAGGCTGAGGCAGGAGGATCGTTGCACGTTTGAGACCAGCCAGGAGCTACACAGTGAGCTCGAGGCCAGTCTGAACTGAATAGCGAGACCCTGTCTCAAAAAGACAAAAAGAAAAAAAAGCACACGGGGGTTATATGAGGACCAACCAAGGGCTCCTGCATACTGGGCAAGTAGTATATTTCCCCGCTGACTTTCATGTTAAGTTTTCCAATCATTTGCATATATATATATATATATATATATTTTTTTTTTTTTTTTTTTTTTTTTTTTTTTCGTGTTTTGAGACACGGACTGGTCTTGAATTCTGGCTTGAGTGAGTTCAGGCTGGCCTTGAACTCTGGTCTCCAATTCGTGAAGATCATCCTGCTTTAGCCTTCTGAGACGTGAACCACTATGTCCGGCTTCAGAGTCCTTGGGAGGATGGAGATGTTGAAAGTTAACCATTACCAGTGAAGTAGACTTGCAGAAACTTGCGTTTCAACTAGAATCCAAATTGGCTCCCACTGGCTAGTGACATTGGACTTGCCTCTTGCTATCCTGGTTATCACAAAGTAAACAGTTAATGTTCTGCATTGTTTGAGTGTAAGGAACTGACTTTGATACTGATATAGGAAAAATACAACTGTTGACCTGTTCAAAGTCAGATGTGCAGAGTTCCTGTCCACTGAGATCAAAGATTGAATTCCAAGGGGCAAAGAAGATTAAGAGTAGGAAAGGTTTAGTGAGAGCTCCTGAGACACAAGAAGGGTCCAGAGTGGGTTGTCACTGAGGCCCTTTGTCCAGAATAATTTATTCTGCAAAGTCACAATATGGATACTACATGGGGTCAAACTATAATCAATAAGATTAGAAATTTAGCTAATATTACTCAAAATAGGAAGCAGGGCTAAGATTTTATGGTTAGCATCACTAATTTTAGCATCTAAAACTGGAACATTTTTGAGGAAGGGATGGGTCCAGTCTGATGTATATCTGGATTTAATGGACTGGTTGGTATTAATTACAGTATAGTCTCAAGTTTTTCTTCTTCCCTTAGGAGAGAAGTGACTTTATCTTGAGGCCTTGCATTCTTCAAATGCACTTCCAGAAAGTTTTCTAGAAAGAGTAGAGACCATTAGTTCAATTTGGATTTGTCTGATATATTGTTAGATTCAGGTTTTACTCTTTTGGCAGGAAGACCATAGAAGAGAAGCGACATTCTTGTAAGTGATTTGTATGAAGAGGTTTGTACCTAGTGGTTTCATGATTGCCAGCACTAACTTATCTGAAGTATGGCATATACCTGTAATCCCAGCTACTCAGGAGGCTATGGCAGGAAGACTGCAAGTTCAAGGCCAACCTGGACAACTTAGCAAGACCTTGTCTCAGAAAAGGTTGGGGATGTAAGAGTGCTCCTGGGATCAATCTCCAGTACCACCAACCAGTTTCTGATGGAAACTTTTCAATTTACTCTTCTCCTATGCCTGGGTGATGGTTTAAGTGTGGCACCGCCCCACCACCCACCCAAACGTTCATGCATGATAGTTTTGGTCCACACGGTGGCACTAGCGGTACCTTTACTTATTTTTTTGTTTTTTAGGACCTTTAAAAGATGGAGCTTAGTGAATCAGTCTGGAGTATGCCCTGAGAAGGTATTAGGGGATCCCAGTCTATACCTGCTCCCTTTTTCTTCCTTATTTCTTCCTCTCATATATGCTCCCACTATTGCAATGTATCATGAAGTGATGCAGCCAAGGGCAGAAGGCCCTTACAGCCTACACAAAGCTATTTGGCCTTTCAACTTCCAAAACTGAGCTAAATAAGCCTCTTTGTCATATTAGCTTGTTCAGATATTTCATTATATAAATGAAAAGCAAACTAACATCAGGAATCATTACTTCTGGGTCCTCTTAGAAGCTGGAGCTGAGAAATGGATAAGATATATACTCATCACTATGAGTTCACACTGGTATCTTCAGTTTCTAGCTAATGCTGCTGAGTTTATTCGGTCTTTTACCTCTTTACCAGTTCCTTTCTCTTACATTGAGAAATGTGGCATCTACCTCCCTAATTTGTTTGCTGATTTGCTTCAGCTTAGAGTCATAAAAAGTAGCCTTAGAATTGTTCCTCCATGTTTCTTACGGGGGTCAGTGGAAGAAACCTACCAACTGGGGCTCAATGGTTTTTTTTAGTTCTTTCTGTCTTTTGTGTGAGGACATATACTTTTTTTTTTTCTTTTTTTTGTATTTTTACCGGTACCAGGGATTGAACTCACGACCACAGGCTTGCAAGGCAGGCGCTTATGCCACAGAGCTAAATTCCCAGCCCCAAGGGCATATACTCTTAATGCTATAATCAAAAGTTACTCCAGTTTTTTATTTTATTTTTCTCATCCTTTAAGTGATTTATGTTATTCATTTTAAATATAGATTCATTTTAAATATAGTTTGGTTCATTTGTTTCTGTTTTTTGTTTGTTTGTTTGTTTGTTTGTTTGAGACATGCAGTTCAGGCTGGCCTTGAATTCACAGTGATCCTTCTGTCTCAGCTTGGAGTGCTGGGAATACATGCGTGTGCCACCACATCTAGCTTTATCATTTTTGTGTGTATCAGCATATAAAGTAATTCCAATATTTTGGAGGGTTTTTTGTTTGTTTGTTTGTTTTCTGGGGTTTTTTTTTTTTTGTTTGTTTCTTTGTTTGCTGGTTTTTTCTTGTTACACATGCTATGTAGTTCAGGCCGGCTTTAAACTCAGAATGTAGTCCAGACTGGACTCGAATTCAAGCAATCCTCTTGTCTCCGTCTCCTGAGTGCTGGGATATAGGTGTGCACCACTATGCCCAGCTAATTCTAATATTTTGTACTTACCAACAACCCTTCACTGAATAACCAAGCGTATATGTATTTTCATATTGTTAAAGACGTATCTTCATTTCGATCCCTGGTACCGATAAAAACGAAAAAGACATATCTTCAGAATAATTTTCTAGAAGTAGGAATACTGAAACAAGAAAAGTGGCATTAGGAGTTTTACTGATGATGCCAAATTTCTCTCAGTAAGGGTTAAATTCATTTGCATTTCCAGCTAGTAATGAGATGCCTGCTTGCCCACGGCCTCACCAATAGAGGGAGTGCTGTACTTCTGAACTTGATGAAATGTATGAAACACAAAACTTGCCATTTTAACCATTTTAATTACACAGTTCAGTGGTATTAAGCACATTTATGATGCTGTAAAAACACTGTCCAGGGCTGGGGATTTAGATTTAGCACAGTGGCATAAGTGCCTGCCTTGCAAGCAGGCAGTCGTGAGTTCGATCCCTGGTACCGATAAAAAGGAAAAAGACAAAAAAAAAAAAAAAAAAAAAAAAAAACACTGTCCAGGGGCTGGAGATTTAGCTCAGCAGCATAAGCACCTGCCTTGCAAGCAGGCGGTCGTGAGTTTGATCCTTGGTACTGATTTAAAAAAAAAAAAAAAAAAAAACACTGTCCAGTTCCAGTACTTTTTAAATATTCCCAACAGGAAATCTATACTGTTTAAACAGTAACTCCAAAGCTAGGCATGATGATGCAGGCCTGTAATCCCAGCATTTGGGAGTTGAAGCAGGAGGATTGTTGCAAATTCAAGACCAGCCTGAACTCCAAAGTGAACTCAAGCTCAACCTGAACTGCATCTCTGAAAATCAGAAGAAAAATAGTTTGCTGATGAGGTGCTGGAAGAAATCTTTGGGAAGAAGGCCATCTGAGCCAGTCCTGGATCAGAAACCCCGCTAAGTGGCAGAGACATCTGATGATAGCCTATGGGCTTGTGGGATGTGAGCAGAAGAACTGCACACTTACAAACAGAGAGGGACACAATCCAAAGGGGTCACGATGGTTGGGAAGCAGATGAGGCTCTGTGAGGAACTTAGTGAAGTCCAGCACCTGGGCCAACATGGAGAAGCAAAGGACAAGCAAGTGACTGAGTCTGATGCCCCTCACAGTTTAAAGCTTATCAAAGCCCCTCTCAGAGGCCACAGCATCCTGCAAATACCAGGGTATCTTACGGATGTGTGACCATTTTCCTGCCTGTTTCACTGCAACCTCTGCGATGTTATCCATAGCCAGCCTTTATCCTTCCAGCATTTTCACTGCCCAACACCTGCATCCTGAGGCAGCTCAAAGTCTATGTAGCATGACCCACACCTTGGCAGCAGAGCTGAAGCCCTAGGATCCACAGATTTCTTGTGAAAGGACGGTTTGAGGGTATCTGGCCACTTGCAGAAAGGCAACATGATTGGTCTCACTGCATTTA